AGGTCTTTGCATTCTTCACTACACAAGATTGCATATACCATGTTACTTCAATTGTGTTTGGGTGTTGGGTATTTTGGATGTACAGATTTATGTCTCAGTCTGTTGCTGGGCTTGAAAAACACAGGGATGGAATGTTTGTTAAAAAGCCTTTTGAGTTTCTCTAACACTACTGCCACATACAGGATACTTTGTGTATTCTGCGTCTTCCCTTTTTTAGGGGGTCTTGTGTTTTTTATTGAACTTTTAGATGCTGGGGTATGTTGGCTGGAGGTAGATTCTGATTTGGTCATATGTACCCAAACTGCAGGGCACCATTTTTAATTTTTGCTTTCTAGCTTTAGCTAGGTGAACAATCTCTGCTCCTTTAGTAATCAACCCGTATGTGGACAAATAGCTCTACATATATTTACATACACTATCCACTTTATTTGTCTTGTTGTGCTTATTGTTCTTCCAATGTATAAGAACACAGAAGTCAGGACTTCTCTGTGGACTGCTAAAAGCAATAGTTATGCTTGTCTGCTTAGTTATGCTAAAATGTGCTCCTGCAATGCTCTATAATGCCTGCATGGTCCTCCAATTTTTTTCCTTCTTCTAAAAAACTCTGCCATGTGAAATTAAATATGGACTTCATAGCTTTCATAATGGGGCCCTTGTTGTTCCTGTGTTGGCCCTTCTGCTTTGAAGCACAAAAAGCATCAACTGCTGTGCTTGTGTTTTTAAATGCTTTCAGACCCAATTTCTCCATGGCTTCTACATTCTCAACACTCAAGACAGACAGCACAAGAGCTTTGATCATAACTTTAGCAGAGCTGTACTAGACATAATAGGAGAAGGTGAAATGTACACTTTCAGAGTGGGCTATATCAAGATTACCTTCCACTATTAGCACAGATGCAACCTTGTTTTTGCACACAAAAAAGTGCAACTCTCCATAGACTGGATTCTCTTAATTATAATTATGTGCACAGGACTATGTATGCTTTGAGGGTAAAACATCCCAGGTTTATGCAGGATTACTGAGC